GATAGAGTCTGAAACCACGAGAGAGACAGAGAGGACAGTGGATAGAGTCTGAAACCAGAGAAGAGAGAGAGGACAGTGGATAGAGTCTGAAAACCAGAGAGAGAGAGAGGACAGTGGATAGAGTCTGAAACCAGAGAGAGAGAGAGAGACAGTGGATAGAGTAGAGCAGGAAACGAACAGGAGAGAGAGAGAGGACAGTGGATAGAGTCTGAAACCAGGGAGAGAGAGGACACGATAGAGAGAAGAAACCACAGAGAGAAGAGAGACAGTGGATAGAGTCTGAAACCAGAGAGAGAGAGAGGACAGTGGATAGAGTCTGAAACCAGAGAGAGAGAGAGACAGTGGATAGAGTCAGAAACCAGAGAGATAGAGAGGACAGTGGATAGAGTCAGAAACCAGGGAGAGAGAGAGGACAGTGGATAGAGTCTGAAACCAGAGAGAGAGGACAGTGGATAGAGTCTGAAACCAGAGAGAGAGAGGACAGTGGATAGAGTCTGAAACCAGAGAGAGAGGACAGTGGATAGAGTCTGAAACCAGGGAGAGAGAGGACAGTGGATAGAGTCAGAAACCAGAGAGAGAGAGGACAGTGGATAGAGTCTGAAACCAGAGAGAGAGAGGACAGTGGATAGAGTCAGAAACCAGAGAGAGAGAGGACAGTGGATAGAGTCTGAAACCAGAGAGAGAGAGGACAGTGGATAGAGTCAGAAACCAGAGAGAGAGAGGACAGTGGATAGAGTCAGAAACCAGAGAGATAGAGAGGACAGTGGATAGAGTCTGAAACCAGAGAGAGAGAGAGGACAGTGGATAGAGTCTGAAACCAGGGAGAGAGAGAGGACAGTGGATAGAGTCTGAAACCAGAGAGAGAGAGAGGACAGTGGATAGAGTCTGAAACCAGAGAGAGAGGACAGTGGATAGAGTCTGAAACCAGAGAGAGAGAGGACAGTGGATAGAGTCTGAAACCAGAGAGAGAGAGAGGACAGTGGATAGAGTCAGAAACCAGGGAGAGAGAGGACAGTGGATAGAGTCTGAAACCAGAGAGAGAGGACAGTGGATAGAGTCTGAAACCAGGAGAGAGAGAGGACAGTGGATAGAGTCTGAAACCAGAGAGAGAGGACAGTGGATAGAGTCTGAAACCAGAGAGAGAGAGGACAGTGGATAGAGTCTGAAACCAGAGAGAGAGAGAGGACAGTGGATAGAGTCTGAAACCAGAGAGAGAGAGGACAGTGGATAGAGTCTGAAACCAGAGAGAGAGAGAGGACAGTGGATAGAGTCTGAAACCAGAGAGAGAGAGAGAGGACAGTGGATAGAGTCTGAAACCAGAGAGAGAGAGAGGGGAATGACATGCGGAAAGGGGCCACGGGTGGAAGTGAACCCGGGCCTACCGCTCGAGACGAGAGGGACGGGCGCCTTAACCATTGCACCACCAGCGCGCCCTTTAATCCAAGTTAAAATAAAAGGAATGTCGTTTGTAACAATAGAATGACTTTATTGATCCCAAACTGGGAAGTTGTTGTGTTACAGCAGATGAAAGCAAGATGATGAAAAACAAACAGAGCAGTTTGAAGCTGCTCTCAGTGCTCAGGACATTTTCAGAGGTTCACTGGCAGCTCGTTCTCTTTCTGCTTCTCGTTCGTCCCTGCTCTTGCTGAACTGACTCCTCCCCCTCCCTGATACCTCATCATGTGTCTCTGGAGGCCTGACAGCTGTTTGCTGGTCAACATGCTCAGGCTACGTACTCTCACAAACACGTGGTGAGTTCAGCCCATCTGGGACCCCTCCCCTCAGTCTGCAGCTTACAACCAGGAAGTGGTCTGATAGTTTACAACAGAGAATCTGAGTGAGAGATGGGACGGTCTTTGAATCGTCTCTTTTTGTCTAACAGTGAGGACTCGCGACCATGGAGCTGAGAGTGGGGAACAAGTACCGCCTGGGGAGGAAGATCGGGAGCGGCTCCTTTGGTGATATCTACCTGGGTAAGTGGAGACGCCCCCCCCCCCCCCCCCTCCATACTGGACTGTCACAGTCTCCTCCTGGTCTTTGAACTGGATCTAGGACCGGTGCAGTCCACTCTCCTCTTACATGTGTGTGTGCGTGCGTGCGTGTGTGTCTTTTCAGGTGCAAACATCGCTACAGGTGAGGAGGTCGCCATCAAACTGGAATGTGTGAAGACCAAACACCCGCAGTTACACATCGAGAGCAAGTTCTACAAGATGATGCAGGGAGGAGGTGAGGCGTGCTTTAAAGACTTTACACACAACTTCAGAGTGGAGAAGAACATGGTGGAGAACAGGAAACATGCAGCAGCAGGTTGATTAGAGCACGGAGAATAGGGAATAATGAAGAATTTGTAGCTGATGGAGAATTTTAAATGATTGAAGTTGTTAAAAGGTTATATTCTGTTTTTTTTTATTGTCCCACAACGGGAAATTTGCGTTGCAACAAGAGCACACAGAAGACAAGAAACACGAGGACAACATCATAAAACATAAACCAAAACTAATAAAAAAAAATAATCAGACAACACAACAAAATATAAAATAAGTGAAGAGCTCATACCAGGATGGAAATTCAAGTTATTGTAGTGCAAAGAGAGCAACAAATAGCTAAGTGTTGTTTAACATATTAATTACACTTAAAAATGAGACCTGGAGTCTTTTAGTCTTCCTCACAGGAGCTCTAAAACGATGACCTGAGGGTCAAAGGTCAAACTCTGTGTGTGTGTGTCTCAGTGGGTATCCCCTCCATTAAGTGGTGTGGTGCAGAGGGAGACTACAACGTGATGGTGATGGAGCTGCTCGGTCCGAGCCTCGAAGACCTCTTCAACTTCTGCTCCAGGAAGTTCAGCCTGAAGACGGTTCTGCTGCTGGCCGACCAGATGGTACGACACAAAGCCTCTCGTCCAATCACACGACGAGTACACAGACACAGTGTTTATAATCCCTCTGATCATGTGACCTACTTGATGTTATTGTTGCTCGCTCTACACATCGCACATGATTCTCCTCAGGTTTCTGTAAGGACACTCCTCTGTCACCATGCTGCTCTACAGACTTCACTTCCTGTACAGCTCCTCTCACCTTCAGCGTGCAGACATGCTGTGTCAGCAGCTCCCCGTGTCGCTGACCTTCCTCGTCCTCCACTTGTTTGCTCAAAGTATTGATGCGTTGATTGGACAAACAGTCAGGGAAAGAGCTGCTCTGACAGGATGTAAAATCCTGTAACCACGGCAACACAACACTCCCAAAGAGCAGGGTCGTCCTAAAACCAGATCGATATCAGAAACCTGTTTGAAGGCAGAGAGGAGGCACTTCCTGCGCCCGCAGCCATCGGGACGCGCCCTCACATGTCTTCAAACATTTTCTCATGTTCTGAACATTCTGTGTCTGTCTCCCTCGCCTCGTTCAGATCAGTCGCATCGAGTACATCCACTCCAAGAACTTCATCCATCGGGATGTGAAGCCCGATAACTTCCTGATGGGACTCGGGAAAAAGGGAAACCTCGTCTACATCATCGACTTCGGCCTCGCCAAGAAGTACCGTGACGCCCGCACACACCAGCACATCCCCTACAGGGAGAACAAGAACCTGACGGGCACGGCGCGCTACGCCTCCATCAACACACACCTGGGGATCGGTAAGATGCACAACACACACACACACACTCGTTCACACACACACTCGTTCACACACACACACACACACACACACACACACTTGTTCTCACACACACACACACACTTGTTCTCACACACACAAACACACTTGTTCACACACACACTCGTTCACGCACACACACGCATACACACACACACACACTTGTTCACACACACACTCGTTCACACACACTCGTTCACACACACACACACACACACACACACACACACTTGTTCTCACACACACACTTGTTCTCACACACACAAACACACTTGTTCACACACACACTCGTTCACGCACACACACGCATACACACACACTTGTTCTCACACACACACTTGTTCTCACACACACACTTGTTCTCACACACACAAACACACTTGTTCACACACACACTCGTTCACGCACACACACGCATACACACACACTTGTTCTCACACACACACTTGTTCTCACACACACACTTGTTCTCACACACACAAACACACTTGTTCACACACACACTCGTTCACGCACACACACGCATACACACACACTTGTTCTCACACACACACACACTTGTTCTCACACACACACACACTTGTTCTCACACACACACACACTTGTTCTCACACACACACACACTTGTTCTCACACACACAAACACACTTGTTCTCACACACACTCGTTCACACACACAAACACACTTGTTCACACACACACTCGTTCACACACACACACTTGTTCTCACACACACACTTGTTCTCACACACACAAACACACTTGTTCACACACACTCGTTCACGCACACACACGCATACACACACACACACACTTGTTCTCACACACACACACACACTTGTTCTCACACACACTCGTTCACACACACACACACACACACACACACTGAAGGGTTGACCTTTTTAAGGAAGCTTTCATGTTGCAAACGCTGACTCGACCTAAGTTTCAGTCGGCATCATGAAAGACTAAGAGGTGGAGAAGAGGGCGGGCCTTAAGCCTCTTGACAAACAGATGCAATACATTCCTTTGTAGTCATACAGGCCACGCCCCTAAAACTTTTATCCTTCTTAAAATAAAAATGGATGAGTAATAACGGTGACTCTTACAGGAGACGATAATCGTTTTCTGTTCCAGGCTGTGAACGTAAACACGACGTGTAAGACGCCGTGTGTGTCTTCTGGGCCTTTTCCTGAAAGCCTCTAGTGGACGATGGAGGAACTGCAGTCTCTCTCTCTCTTTCATGCTGGCTTCATTTTTCATCACTGGGTGTTGCTTGCTTCTGCCCAATAAAAAATCAGAATCAGTATTTAGGTGAACCAGACAGCCGGGGTGGTACTGAGGGGACCCTACAGGCACGCCGCTGCACGCCTCTTTATCCCGTGGTATCAGTCAAATGGTGCCGCCTTTATTTGACCTTTGCTTGTGATTATATCTCTGCGTCTACATGGTGTAGAGGGACAGCCCCCCCCCCCCCCTCACCTGCCTCAGTCTCCGTCCTGAAAGATGTTATTGATGTTTGAGGATGATGTTGTTGCGTTCAGTATTAAGCTCCGCCTTCAGCTTTGTCTCACTTTGTGTCCACAGAGCAGTCCAGACGTGACGACCTGGAGTCTCTGGGTTACGTCCTCATGTACTTCAACCTGGGCTCGCTCCCCTGGCAGGGCCTTAAAGCTGCAACCAAGAGACAGAAGTACGAGCGGATCAGTGAGAAGAAGATGTCCACGCCCATCGAGGTCCTGTGCAAAGGCTATCCCTGTGAGTCTGCGCGGTGTCCTCCCTCTGCTGGGATGATGCACTCTGACTTCCTCTCATATTTCTTTGTTTTTCTCTCCCTCAGCTGAGTTCTCAACATACCTGAATTTTTGCCGTTCACTGCGTTTCGATGACAAGCCGGACTACTCGTACCTCCGGCAGCTTTTCAGGAATCTGTTCCACCGCCAGGGCTTCTCCTACGACTACGTCTTCGACTGGAACATGCTCAAATTTGTACGTTGACAGTAAAAATTGATAAAAATCAGAACTCTAAACCTAAAAGCAGCAAATAGAAAACTGTAACGTGTCTGTGGTGCCTCAGGGGGCGAGTCGGACCGCTGAAGACGGCGATCGGGAGAGGAGGCCGGGAGAAGACCGGGACGAGCGGATTGCTGGAGTCCCTAGGGGGTCTGCATCGCGGGGCCTCCCCCCAGGTCCAAACCCTGCAGCTGCCAACAGAGTCCGGAACGGACCGGAGCAGGCCGTCTCCAACCCGGCCTCCCGGGTGCAGCAGTCTGGTGAGCACTTCCTGTCTGATTCTAATAAAGTCATTAATGTCATGTTTCACACTTAAATATAAATCCAGTATCTCCTCTGAAAATAACTCTGTGAGTCATGACTGTCTACAATGGGTGTAACACCCGAGTCCCACTGTCTGTGATGTTTTCAGAGTTTTCAGAGTCCTATCTTCACTTTGTTTACATCGCCAGGACGGCCGGCTGACTCCTCCCCTCGTGTATAAAAGTAGTTTAATTGAGGGACTAGAGAAAAGAAGAATAACATACTGTACTCACTGCTTAACTGTGTTTCTAGATCACGCTCATTTCAGGTAAATTTACATGCAGTGTGAAGATACCAGCATAATAAAGATCGCTAGCATTAGCATGCTAACACAACAATGCAGCGCCAGTTGTTTTGGTTTCATGCTGGAGCTCAAGGGCGACATCTGCTGGATCAAAACATCACATTAAGACTTGAAGTTAACGTGTGGTTAGGTCTCAATCTGTCCATGTCCTTTTAGGGAACACGTCTCCTCGTGCAATTTCTCGTGCAGAGAGAGAGAGGAAAGTGAGCATGCGGCTCCACCGAGGAGCTCCCGCCAACGTGTCCTCCTCTGACCTCACAGCCCGCCACGACCAGTCGAGAATCTCCACGTCACAGGTGAGAGGAAAGAATAGTGGAGAGAGAGTTGCTGTTTGGTAGGAGGGGCTAAAGAGCTGTGATGATATTAAACATGTTTGATTTAAACGAGAGAGCGCCGACTTTGAGATTGATTTAAAAATCTTGGTTTGTCAGAACTTTGTTGCCATTGGCAACAGTCAACAAGATGACAGGATGTGGACGGAGCTGTCAGACGTGTTTGACTTGTGTTTGTGTTTCAGGTCAGCGTGCCGTTTGAACACATGGGGAAATAAATCTCTGTGCATGCACAACACCTGACAGGTAAGCTGTGATGTCACTCTCTCTCATCCTGCATGACATCATTAATGAATCCCTCTGATGTGACCTCGTGTCTCTGCAGGGCTGCAGACTTCACTCCTGGTTTCTCCGTTTGTCCTTTATTTTGACCTTGTCTTATGGAAAGAGGATCGCCATGGAAACGTGGATCTTTGGAAACGGACACTTCTTCTTAAAGGATCCAGAGAAGTACGTGAACGTGTCCGACCTGCACTCTTTTATACTAACGCCTCTTTTTCTGAGCTGTGGCATCCGCCACCACAAAATAAACACCACCACAACCAGTGCAACATTTTTACTCCGTGGTCGTTCATGCCCGCTCCTCAGAACGTCCGCTCTTTTCATCTGGATCCACGTGAAGCAGAACGCTGTCGAGGACGGAGAATGCTCTGCAGAAACGGCGTCCTCTACAATCGGGCACGTTATGCATTTCCTTCCTTCATCTTGTTGAGCAGCAGAAAGAGGACGACACAAGGCGAGGTAGAAGAGAGTAAGGATGTTAAACTTCCATATGATGCTGTTAAATATTCAGCAATATCCGACCCTTTTCTGATACCATGGCAACGAGAATCCAAAACCTGGCGCCCGGTGACGAGCTTCTTGTTTTTAATAACCACAAACTTCAGGTGAAATCTGCACGCTCTCCAAACTGCAAAAACACTTTTTCAATTTGTTTGTGCAATGTAGATCTCTCTCTCTCTCTCTCTCTCTCTCTGTCTCTCTCTCTCTGTCTCTCTGTCTCTGTCTCTCTCTCTCTCTCTCTCTCTCTCTGTCTCTGTCTCTGTCTCTGTCTCTCTGTCTCTGTCTCTGTCTCTGTCTCTGTCTCTGTCTCTCTCTCTCTCTCTGTCTCTGTCTCTCTGTCTCTGTCTCTGTCTCTCTCTCTCTCTGTCTCTGTCTCTCTCTCTGTCTCTCTCTCTGTCTCTCTGTCTCTCTCTCTCTCTCTCTGTCTCTGTCTCTGTCTCTCTCTCTCTGTCTCTGTCTCTCTCTCTCTGTCTCTCTCTCTCTCTCTCTGTCTCTCTCTCTCTCTCTCTGTCTCTGTCTCTCTCTCTCGTCTCTCTCTCTCTCTCTGTCTCTCTCTCTCTCTCTCTCTGTCTCTCTCTCTCTGTCTCTGTCTCTGTCTCTCTCTCTCTGTCTCTCTCTGTCTCTGTCTCTCTCTCTCTCTCTCTCTCTCTCCCCCCCCCCCCCCCGATTCTAGTGAACAACATTGTGTTTGGATTGCGTTTTCTAGTTTAGTGTGCAGGAGTCTTCATTCCTCTCGTCTTCAATAGTTTCACACTTTTGATGGCGTCTCTGATATTTAACTTAAAGCATCGTTTTTAAATCAGGTGTTATCAAAGAAGCGTCGGGCGACTTTAAAAAGGATGAGTAAGTGATTATTATTATTTTTTTAGCAGCAAAGAACTGAACGGGTGAAGAGGCGTGTGCCGCTTGCGTTCACATCATTCATGTTTTTATATATTTTACTGCCCCCCCCTCCCAAACTCAGAACCTGATATTTGTCCTGCTCTGACTTTGTGTTCCTCTGGTTTTAACGTGACGAATGACCGTAAATATGACAAAGACACGCTCTGCACCCTGAGGGACGCCCCTCAGGACCGTGACCAGCGACCACAGCGGCCCGTTTTGGATAACTACAGGCGGCCATTTTTAAGATCGTTCTTAATGTGACCTTTTTTATTCTTTTCCTATTGGAGGTCACCAGGGAATGGGCGGGCTCTTTTTGGGGGTGGGGCTTCTGATTATTCTATGATTTTTTTTTTTTTTTAATGTTTACTTAACTGTAAATATTTATTTTTTATGTAAATCCAAAACGTGATCCTTTTGTTGTTTTTAGGTGTGAAGCAGAAAAAAAATTATACTATTAAGAGAAGGTGAGGCTGACTCTGCCAGCTGGGTCGCCTCACAGCGCGCGGT